ACCCCAACTGCTCCAGGGGCGCCGTATAAATGGCTGACCCTGCGCTCTGACCCCAGGCTTCTCTCCCTGTCTGTGTGTCTCTTGGAGAGCAGGTTGGGGTCTGCGTAAAGACAAATCCCCAATACAAGAAATTGTATATGGCCAATAAAGTGATCTTATATCTTATGTCCCAAAGTCACGGGTCTGTCAAGAGCTGCCTCAGACGTGCTGCTGCTTGGTGAACCCTGGGCACAGCTGGCGAGTGACACAGGCGAGGCTCAGACTCGAAACATCTGGGCCACAGAGCCCAACCTGTGCTCTGAGCAAGGCCTTTACTTGGCGAGACATACAGGACCCCCCCACCCCCCAAATCCGTCTTCAAACAGCAGTCTGTTTCCAGTTCTGCACTGGTCTATGTTAAAACACACCAGTGGCATGGCCATCTCCCAAACAGCCCACATGTGTTTTAATTGTGTTGTGTAGATATCCCTGTCCTGAGAAGGATCTGACACCTGGGCCGACCCATTCACTGACCAGTGCTTTCCGTAAGGAAAAGAGGAATGAGAGTCTTGTTTCAGATGTCTGTGAACCTGGGTTAGATTCCAATCATGCCAAATTACCTTTTTAAACCCAGGACTGCTTGCGGGTTCACCTGCTCATCATGCGAAGGCACATACAGGCACAGACTCCCCACTGCCCCGGGGAGAGAGGAACCTCACCTATGTTAGCCTCTTTGCTTTGTTGTAGAGCGAATCCACTACTTTGCTCATGTTCTGGATGGTTTCAAGAGCTGCTTCATACGTTTTGTCTACCGGAGGCTCATCGAATATGATCAGCACCCCCTCTCCCTGGTCCAGGATCCCTGAAACACAGAGAGGAGGAGGTCAGAGGAGGAGGGATCGTGCGGCTCAGCCCCTCTGCCGACAGGCCAGGCTTGCAACCAAGATTTCTGGGAAAGGTGGAGAAGACTGAAAACAAAAGCAAACTCAGTAAACCAGTACATTGCCCAGAAGTTGCGGTGGAGACCTGATTCATGTCTGCACTGAGAGATCTGCAATATCTCCTTATAAAGGCAGACATGTTATAACAGCACAGGAGTCCCAGATTAAGATTAATGTGAAAGCAACCATATCACCCTGCAACTCACAACTGGAAGCCCTCTGGAGCTCAGCAGGTGTGAACTTGGGCAGTGGCTCGATGGGAGACCTCCTGGGAAAAACTAAGGTTGCTGCTGGAAGTGGTGTTAGTGGGACCAGTAGGAGGCGCTCACCCTGCAGTCTGTGTGGGTCCTAATGCCCCAGTATAGTAACGGGGACGAAGGCAAAAAGGCGATGTTCTTTGGGCGAGACGCAAGACCAAGGTCCTGACTCTCTGCGGTCATTAAAAATCCCTGGGCGTTTCTTGAAAAGAGTAGGGGAGTTACCCTGGTGTCCTGACCAAATTTCCCACTGGTCTTTACACTAATCGTGGCTTCCTAATAATCCCCATCAATAAACTGGCTTCATCACTCTGTTCTCCTCCTCACTGATAGCTGATGGGAGTGTCCAGAAAAGCACTATATAAGTCTATGGAATTATTATTATTATGTCTAATGAGTAATATTAAAGGATTCTGGGAATGTATATGCAGTTGTCTTGCAGAAGCACGAAGAAAATCTCTTGGACAAAGCCAGTTTAGACCAGAGGACACTAGCATCACACGCGCTCACCAGTGGGAGTGTGAGTAGAGTATGACTTGGGTATAAATAAAAAAATCAGCAGAACACCTGCCAGTCTGAAGAATCACAGGCCCACTGGACGCCGCTCAGGGTCCCCTATGTGCAAGCATTAAAATCTGTTGCTCAACAGTGTACATTTTTCATGATGCAGCAGCTTGAAGTGGGCAGCTAACTATGAGCACCTATGTGCATGTACAGCCTTTCCTCCAGGACACTGGCGGCTGTGCAGAGCTGCAGAACTGGGGAAGCTGGGAAGCCTCCTAGAACAGGAGGCGCTTCTTCACCCAGAGGCTTGTGGGAGGACAGAACAAATTAACGATCCACGCTGAAGCGGATCAGCTGATTCTTAAAGAAGACAGGGTAACAGCTGGATGAGGTTCTCGGCTCAGTTAGCTTACCAACTATCAGAAGGAACAGATGGGCTGAAATACATTTTCTTAAGAAGTGTTTAGGGATAATGGAACAGGACAAGAGGATGCTAATGTGACTATGCCAGGCAGAGTTCTGGTGAGAGGAAACAGGAGGGCAGTGAGGACAAAGACGAAGGAGGTAACTTATTCTTTACCGTGAAATTTCTTGTCCAGAATCATCTGTGACAATTTCCTCTCGACGTCCCCCTGAGAAAAGGGAAGAGCAGACAGTGAGAGGCCTCAGAAAGGAAAGCTAAATCCCTCCTCCCAGAGAGGAAATGAAGAGGTAACTGCTGACACTTGAATGGTCCAAATGAGATGTCTGGTTTCCTGCGTTATTAAAACACAGAAGTAAATAACTGGGAATTCAAAAATGATCCGTAGAAATTAGTCATGACAGAGTCTTTTGGGTCGAAACAAGAAAAAAAGGTAATAAATGCACACCTGGCTCATAGGTCAGGCCTCTATCCATTCAAACTTCACTGGTCCTACCTCACCCTTGTCCGGGACAGAGATCCCCACCCCTGAACTTCACTAATAAGATTTAAACAATTCTTACCTTTGACAGTTTGATGAGAGTTGATATGTGTTCTATCTGCAAAATGGGAAGAAAAAGAAGTTTTAAATTTGGACCGATGAAAACCAACCCAGTGTAAGAAGACTGTCTGCTCTACTCCAGGGCCGCTGTGAGATCTCCCCCACCTGAAACTGTATCCCTCCCATTCAGCGGTTCACCCCTACAGCACACACAGGCACACGTGCTGCGGCACGCGCAGCTCAGCAAACCCAAACAGCTGGGTTGTCGGAAAGAAAAATCCTGAGAAAGCTCACACTGCTCGCTAAAAACCAGCCACTGCGCGGGAAATAGCGACTTGTGAGAAAGTTTGAGAAAGTCAGACCATTGTATGCTGCAGGCGGTGATCGGGTTCAGATCCCAGCTATCTGTGACCATTCTGACACTTTCGCCACAGAACTTAACTCTCAAGAAAAACAACTCCTTCCAATTCCAATGCTGGATTATGTATTTCTCATTCATTTGTGCTGACAAACCGTTCTGCTTTTCAGTACACTGACGTTTGGTTAGAAACAACAACTGGCTCAACAGAATTTAAACATTTTGCTATTGATGCATATGTAGAGCTAAGAAAAATGCAGTAAATCCCCAGTTTAACAGACTAAGGAGGAAGGGGTGTCCATTACTGCCCAATGTCTGTTAAATCATGAAGGACGTTTTCAGCCCAAGAACACACTATTATATGAGAGAAATGTATTTACACTACCTATGCATATACGTTCTGTATCTGTTGACTTATTTTTTAAAATAATATTGCACTGTAGTATTTATTTTTAACTTGTTGTATTATTTGTGCATTTCCCATTATTACACGCAAGTCTGGTATTTCTAAATCTTAAGCAGGTTTTGTCGGTAAAAGCAAAGTGCATTAAACCGAGGGTTGGGTCTATGGTGAAGAAGAGGGCGCCCCCTACCTGCACTCTGGAGAAGGGCTCAATGACCCGGATGAGGTTCTGCTCCAGCAGGTTGTCGTAGAGCTTGGCCAGGTGAGTGTTGATGATGGGGTCGTCCCTCAGCTCTGCTCTATACTCCGTGAGGGCCTGGGATGAGAGAGAGCAGTCAGGCGGGGCTTCAAGGCACCGTTACAAGGCACAAAACAAAGCAGTAACAGTTACACCACTCCTGGAATTGGGATTCACCTTTTCAAAGTCTGCCAATGACCTGTTCTTGCTAGCTTGTGCAACACATTTCAGCGCATCTGTCTGCAGAAAAAAGAAAAAATCCAAATTAAACCAATGCACCCTCGCCACGACAACCTCCATGGTCACTTCAGTGAAGATGAAACAGAAGCAGCCTATTCTGCTGAAGATCAACTGGCATTTCATATCTGACAGCACACAGTCAAGGCTCTGAGACTCACACTGGACAGCAAGGGAGCTTAAACTGGAAGTCTGACAGTTTCTTTCATCAACAGAAAGCCATGTGTTATGGGTTTGCCACCTCTTCATTCATGCCCCAATCTGAAGTCATTCTAACTGGGCTACGGGAGTCTCAGTTATAACTTCAAGCCTACCCAGTCAAGGAGGAATTGCACTGCAGGGCAGATCAGCATTGGGCATGCGCCGAGCACAGCGAGCACATCTCAGGCTGCATGGTATTGCAGTCGGGACAGCTTCAGCCTCAAACAGTGACAGAGGACACCTTGAGCGCTGAGGCCGAAGCTGTCAAATCTGTGTGCCACAGTGACTGTAATAGCTGCCCAAGTCTAGTCCAGATGTCCTCTTGAAGTACCATAAAGGGAAGAGGGAAATTCCATAGTACTGTGCCATTCTCTTCTCAAGCAGAAAATGAATGAAGTTCAGTCAGAAAAGGACTTGATATCAAGAGCTTATTTAGAAGCAATCTCCTTCAACCTACAACCCACCATCGCTCTTTAGTCATGGGCAAAATGGAGGCACATACCTGTCGTCCTGCATATCGCAGAGCCAGCTTCCCACTGATCAAAGCCTGCACGTCCTCCGGCCTGCCAGGAACAGAACAAAACATATGAGAATTCTAATCCAATGGAAGTGCAGACTGCCTGAACTGGAGAACAAGGGGCACAGAGAATCCACAACACATTTTTCCTAGTAACTTATCAGAATGCTTAGATTTACAACTTCATTCATACAGTGGGGACATATCTGTTGCCCAGAAATCAAGTCAACATGGAAACAACTGCTCAAAAGCCATTCAAAAGCTGAATGCTGCACAGGAGGATGAGACCACTGTGAAATCACAAGGACGCTTAAAGCGTTCGACCCTCTAAGGGCGGAGAACTGGCCCAAGCATGCTGCTGACTCTGAATTCTGAAGCAGAAGCCTGCTTTTTCTCTATCCAGGAATGTCACATCCGGGCTTACAAGTTCAGCATGATCTTGCAGAGGAGCATGTATTTGAGAGCAGTGATGGCTCGGGGGCTGTCGATCGAGTCGTAGCCCTCAAATGCCTCGTAGAAATAGGAGTACGCCGTCTTCCAGTCCTTTTCCTCCGCGGCGTGAATGATCCCTGAGAACAGGAGAGGACAGAGGAAACGAAGGGGGGTTCAATATCTCGCTGCACAACTGAAGTATCAGGGATATGACTACACTTCACCCACTATCAGCAGGCTGCTGGAAACAGATGGCACATGGGGAGCCTTCTCACCTTGGAAGTTTTTGCAAGGTGAGAGAAAATCTGTGCAAAAGCAGACAGAACATGCAAACTCCAAACAGCATTACCACTGTGCTCATTTTAAATTAAGGCTTCTTCTTTATGGACACACAATATTACTCTCAACCCATAAGTACCTATGTATTGGATCCTATTGCTGTAATAATTTTATCCCAGATCACAATAGCCCATCACATCTGGCAACTTCACTTTAAAGTAATCCTGTTGCTTCTCCTTCATCAGTGCACTATATTCATCTTCATCCTCATAGCACTGCCTAAAGTCAACCCTTAATGCAGGAACAAGCTTTATTTGCCAGGTTTAACATTAAACTTCTGCATCTCCCTACACTCAGCTTTTGACTTCTCATTTGGCAGCTCTCTTTTGAAAATATCACAAATAAAGCAGTCTGTGAAGAAGAGCTTCCTGTCTTTTTATTTCATATCTTGGCATGAGATGAAGAGGCACCACCGTCTGAGGCGAGAGGAAATGAAATGCTTTAAACGACATCAAAGGGCGTGAAAGTGCTGCCCCTGTTGTCTCTGTGTTGCCTGTGTGTAAACAGGCCTCTCACATGCCCAGGGAACACGTGCTCTTACTCAGGACACCTGGGCACAGGATCCTGACATCACATGGACCGTGTCCACGCCAGGGAGGGCGACAGACCACAAGCACCAGGATCTTTCATCTGCACCCCCTCATATCAAAACCCACTGCCAGGCAATGTGATGGGCAGCGCCAGTCCTTGAAGTCCACAGGACACTATAGGATTCATCCCCTCTCTACAATACCTCACTGAGCTCATTATTTGGCTCATTATAAGTAGTCAAACCTCCTGTTTTAGTTTTTTTAGTTTTAGTGAGTTAATAGATGAAAAATTAAGAGTAGTGGAAGGATTGAACAAGCTACCCGGCCATGATGCTGAACCCAAGACCCTGGCGTCTTTGGATACATGGCTGGATAAGATCCTTGGATCAGTTAACTACTAACTACCAAACGGTGTAGTTCTAATGTTCCAATGAAAAGCCATAAAAGATGTAAAAACGTACTTTAGTCTCTTTGCAACTGGTAATGAGAAACACAGCACATGACCTAATGTGAAATGAGATACCATGGCCTTTAATCTAACTAGCAATCAAACAATAGCGTCTTATACCACTCGTGCTCATGTGCTTAACTGTGCGTCCCATCCAACTCAGGAGGATCCCCTGACAAGCCCTGCTTTGGCTCTGTCCACATCCTTACAGACCATGTGGCCTGAACTAATTCTCAAACTAATAAGCTAATTAAACCTCCGCAGCAGGGTCAATTAAATAAGTAAGGATCAATTAAGCCATTAAAATGCTGGCAAGACATTAACACACCTGCTCCCAAGGCCAGACTGTCAGGACCCAGAATGCTGAGGTCAGCTGGCCTCCCCTTACCTGACTGCATGTCCAGGGCAGCCTGCAGCTTGGGCGGACAGTAGATGGCATTGGCAGTGGTCCTGGCAGAGGTGAGGGCTGCCCGCGCCTTGGGGAGGTTGCTCAGGGCATGGTACGTCTTGCTCTCCAGGAGCTGAACCTCCACCAGCAGAGCCTTGTCGTCCATCTTCTTCAGCTCCTGCAGTAGCTGGGACCCTGCCAAGGCAAGACCATCACTATATATTAACGCCATGTATGAAAAAGCCCAAAACACTTACTATATCCCCGTGAGGCAGATCGTCTTTAACGCATCTGTCTCCGAGCAGGACTGTGAAATGGAAGTACTGATTGTCAGTCAAAGATCTGCTTTGGCAAAAGTCAAAGCCAGGCCAATAAAAGGCTGGAATGATGGGCAAGAGAGGTTATTAAAACCAAAAAGAGATCGGTTTATTTAACTGCCGACTTCAAAATCATTACAGCCGGATGAAGGATTAGATGAGGAATCCTGGAGTCAAGCCACTTCAACACCTCTGCCCCTTCAGCCAAACGCCAAGAAGTGGGACTCAACAGCTTATGGCCTGTAATGGATGGGAGAGCAATCGGCTGGACT